TCAGTGAATCAATCTATCTTTCTATTTAATGCTTGTAACCCATGTTGAACAGAAAAAGGAAGTGAGCCCAATTTCAACATGTGAATAAAGTTGAATTGTTAGAATACTAAGATCTGAGAAATGAATTTACAAGAGATGTGAACTGGCAGCAAGTCAGCAGCAATATCTTCATGACCATAGTTAGTAGAGGAGACTGCTTATGAAAAATGGCAAACGTGAAAGATAAAAACAACAGCACTGCAGATTACAGCTGTATACTGTATGTTAGGAGCTCCCTGACTCTGCACATACGATCCTTAAGTTTTTATTTTGCTTGTCACAGAATAAATTAATGCCACACTTTTATTGGTCAGAAAGATCCAAATTAATGATACGAACGCTACTGAACATTGTGCACCTTAAAGTCCACAAATGTCAGGGTCACCCAATGACAGTTTCCTCCTAATCCATTGAAAACACTTCTCAGGCTACCCAGAGTACTTTTAGATCTCTAGAAAAGCATTCTAAATGGCGCTATCAAATTCGTATCTGTTCAGTCATCCTAGCGGAACTTGAGTCTTTTTCAAAACTTCACAGGATTAAGTTGAGTATTATTTTTTCCAAGCATAAATTACGAAAGTGAGAATTTCACTGATTCCTCTCTCCATCACATTTTTGAATCCGAAAATTTCAGGTTTCCTTTTTTCTATGGAAAAGAGCCTAACCTGGGCAATGAAATGTGAAAAATTAAACTTTAGAAAATTGTAGGGAATGCCCCTGATTATATATAACAAAGGAGTGTGACAGTTTTCACGTCTACTTCACTCCTTAACTGTGGTGTCACATACGTATAGCCCCTTAAAGGGCGGTTAATAACAACATGCCTTCTTCACCAAAGGAGAAACCTTTTTCTCCAGCAGCAAATGTAGCAAGCTCTTGGTCCCCTGTGGAAAACGTCACCCTGTTGAGTACAAATAGAGTAACCAGTGAGTTCATATTAACCATTGTCTCAGTTTCAAATACCAAATGTTATTGTGGTTCAAATTTTTCTTTGGTTTGAAAACTCCTAAACAAATTGAATGCTAGTTTTTCTTTTCTCTTGGATCATCATAAAGTTTCTAAGGCAAAGGCAAATAAAAATTAGTGCCGTATATTTACTGTAAAGATTGCCACACCACCTTATCAGTGCCTAGTCTATTTGGGCACGGTGCATTATACAGGTTTTTCTTGGTGTTGCGGAAACTATTGTTGGTTAGCTATTGTGTTGTGGTGTGGGTATTGTTTGGTGTCTTTTTATGCTTTTGTATTATGTCATTTGGTGATTGCACCTGTCCCCAACACCAAGACACTGCCCATTATAAAGTGTGGAACCTCCCATAGGCGACCGCCCAAAATGCAATTTAGTGGTTGCTTATGGGAGATAGTCACTCATGGAAATCAAACCACAAGGGGTCTCTTCCGAGAAAGGTCCCAACACATTTTCTTTTTGGAAGAGAATTTATTGCACTCAATTTCTAAGCTATGATATGTGTGGTTTCAATTTGTCAATGAAAATTCTTTGTATACTTTCAGTGGCATAGTACATTCAATGAGCAAGGAGCAGGTCAGAGGTAATTTTGATAGACCATGCATCAAGTGGTTAATTACAAGAAGTTAAAAACAATGAACAGGGTAGTCTTTTATGAGAGGTTTAATTTTATCACAGAGCTTTGACTACGAAAATTTTGATATTTGAATCTAATAAGGGGTGGTCACAAGGATGTTCCACTGTATTATTAAACAGAGGGTTTCTATTTTTTTCATATTAAAATTCAGTTACAGCAGTCACTCAGTCTTAAAGCAGTTCAAACTATAAACACAAAAAATGTGAATTAAACCAATTACATGTGACACAAGAAGGAATATAATATCAATTTGTACAATGTACTTACTGTCCATGAAGAAGAATAAATATTTCCTGCCCCTTCCATCCTTCTTTTGTAATAATGCTATTTGCAGGATACAGCATAATAATTTCTGCAATGTAACAATTTACATATTTATTCGTTCCTAACTTTTCTTTAAAAAAAGTGCCTGTTCTTTTACTGTTAAACATTTTTCTCGTTGACGGGCAAATAATTATGCAAACCCTATATAAATCGTGGTCAAGTACATGTTACATGTAAAAACTGTACTTTAAAATCAAATAACATTAAGAAGTTTTTCCATGAGTTGTGATGTTTACAGCAGCATAGAACAAAATACTGTAATGGTTTCAGCAGTCTACACAACAATAACCTTTTTTTCAGTCAGGTGTTGCTGATTTGAATAGTTCAAATTACTATTATTTTTAAATAATAAAATGATATTAAAATATCTTTTTAACTTAAGTTTAATTTACCAGGTTTAACTGTCTTTATTACAGCATCTAAAGCTTCTTTCTTCCAACCATGTAACACTGGAGACTATAATACAAAAATAAATTACTTTAAGGAACCTACATGTAATAAAATTAAAAATTTGCTTAAAATTGATATTTGCTTTTTAAAAAAAAAAAATGTTCAAGACAACAGAGATCAATACAGTTCCTAAATTACTTTTGGTATAATTTTAATTATTACTAAATATCAAGATCTTACCCTTTGTAGCACATCAAGAGCAATCTCACGAGACAGCTGATGACTGTTGAACAGTTTACTGGTGTCAAAGTATCTCCTATTAATAGCACAAACACACACAGATAATAAATATCATTTTCAGTGAATAATCAGCCCCAGCTTTTAGCTCAGGTAATAACATAATTAGATGGAACCAATAAATTTTTATATTACTTAAATACACATGTACAGGCACTTGACCGCAATAATTAACATTTATACTCCATGCTTGTTGGTAGAGCTATGTACAACGTCATCTTGCTTTTGTAGCAAATTGCCTCGAGCATTTTATACACAGCTGTCAAAGAACAGAGGATTTTGTCAACTGACAAAAAATTGTAGGTCTCTGAACTTTCTGGATGGAATCTTTGAAGTTTGGTTACGCTTGAGAACATTTTGGTACGTCAAAAAAATTATTTGAACTGGCAATGTCTTCCTGTTGACAATTTTTTTGCAAAACAAGAAAAAAATTTGTATAGTGCGAACAGGACCTAAACTTTATACATGTGTCACATTGCTATATAAAGGAACAACAGGAGAACAGATTTTCCAAAATTATCACATTTGGGATCCATTATAAGCACATAAGATAGGTGACACTAACCTCTGTTGAAACCACTGCAACAGCGTCACTTCACTTGGAAATGTAAACAATTGACGAGCATCAGAAGTTTTTAGCAACAAAATTACACACCTTGTAAAAGACAAAAAGATAATGGGCACATAACAGATAGAGGAGCAAAGTGATCCAAAGTAGACTACTGGAAACCTGAATTATTTTAAATAACCCTTGTAGAATCAGACACTATGTAGAATCTATGCAAATGCTATGTCACAAAGCTATGCAAAACCTATGTTAATCACTCATACATTGCTTTAACCAGATCCTATGTTGTTTCTATGCCAGGACTATGTTTTTTGTATCGAAAATGCTATGTTTTCGCTAGTCAAACGGAACCTACTTAAAAGCTATGCAGTTTTTAAAGGTAGGAATAAAGGAAGAAATGACATAGTTTCCACATAGCCTATACATACAGTTTACTTAGCTTGTGGAAAGAGATTTTAGACTTCATAGTCAACCTCATAGAAAAATCATAGAAAATAAATAGCCTTCACATAGGACTGAAATAGAGTTTACATAGTAAAATGGAACAGGGAACAGTTGATTAAATAGCTTTTGAATAGGGTTTGCCTAGAATTTAGATAGCCTAGAAATAGAAAAAACATATGAAAAACATAGCCTTTTTAAAGGTGACATATACTTTGCATAGCATTAAAATAGGGAAAACACAGAACAAATAGTCTTTGCATAGGTTTGAAATAGGATTTTAATAGTATTTGAATAGGTAAAACATATCACATACACAAGTTTTAACTAGAGTTCAAACAGAAATTACATAGAATTGACATAGTCTCTTATGTATGTAGGTTTCGATCTGCTTAAGCAAATGTAGTGTTTAAAATACGTCGTAAAAATCACCAAAATAGTAAAAATAGTGTAAAAGTATGAATAAGAATACCTTTTACATTGGTAAGAAATAGGTTTTGAAACGAAAAATTTAAAAACTATGGCAATATAATACCACGAACACTAATAGTATATAAACACAAATGCAGTATTTTCATGGAGGTTTCAGAATCGAAACCCCAAGTTTAAGTTTGCTTATCGTGTAGACTTTTGCTGATGTCGTGCTCTTCAGTGCCATACAGTTTCCTTTTGACTGCAACGAATAAGTATCTGCAAACAGAAAAGTGGAGATTCTAAGGCAAATGAACATAAAAACAACCTGACGTTTTAGAATTGAAACGACGGAGTATCAAAGCGTGATCGACCGATCCTTGTTCAGATACGCGAAAAGGGGAGACAACACAGGCAAATCGAAACTTAATTGAGAAAAACATCACTTACCAACGTTAGGAATACTTTTTGTTGAACCTGGCAGGAAAAAGACTGTAAATTGAAGTAAAAAGAAGCGTCTTCTTGTAAAAACCCACGCTTACAGCTCGTCTTCTTTGACTTGAAAGCGCCCGCGTGGAAACAGACAATTTTCACACCTTTTCATTGGTTGAAAAGGCCCACGTGACGATAAAACGCAAAAATACGCATGTGTTGAACTCACGGGCTTCCCTGGGAACTAGTGCAAACAAAATGGCTGACAAACATCCACCGAGGCAGGTAGCGTTTCGCAGTTTTGACCATGCAGTTATATTCAGGAGACGTCCACAATCAAGACGAAGGATCGAACCCAATGTAAAAGAAGAAAATGATGCATGGAAGTATGATTTCAAGTGAAGAACTCTATGGAAAAGCTAGAAAGGAAAGTTAAGACAGGGATGATGGATGTAGCGATTCAATGCAATGATACAAAAGTCTTCTCACTAAGAAACTATCTGCAAGCACAAAAAAAAATTATAGTACATGATTTTTCAGTGTTTTAGTTTAAAACACTTCTTTTTACTTTCGAAGTATGGTTAGCCTTCTGTAAGCGCTACCATCAACATGCCTAGTCACTTAAAAGCTACGTTGGAATATCACATAGGAAAAATAAACGCATAGACTACATATATTTTTCATATGAGTGACATAGGAAAAAATATGTTTATGTAAAAGCTATGTAGCCTTTATCTCATGATAAAGCTAAATGAAAATGTCACATAGTGAATACATAGGCTGCAAATATGTTTCATCGCATAGCATAGAATATACATAGCACTATGTAAAAGCTAAGAAACTTGTTGGAAATAAAAGTGAAGATCGAAATGCTATGTAAAAGCTATTTTACTTTGATGCATAGTGAATACATAGGATGCTAATCGGAAGGAAAAGCAGAACTTTCTATTGCATAGTAAATACATAGCTATGTCAAGACTATGAAAAGATTTTGAATAGTATTTGCATAGGTATTCAAAAGCTATGTGCTTTTCAAATAGCCTAAACATAGTTTCAACATAGATTTCGCATACTTTGGACTATGTTGTTTGGTGTGTTACATAGTTAATACATAGGCAGTAGTGAACATAACATAGCTGAAACATAGTCCAACATAGTAAACAAATAGCATGAGCATAGGTTTTGCATATGTCTGGTTCTACAAGGGAACTCTATTCCCTGGTGTAAAATGCTTTATTATAAGGCTGAATCCGCAAGCAGGCAAGATGAAGTGAATCCTACATTCTGATTGGCTACCTGAGCGAGCAAGATGGGTCAATCTTGCCTGCTGGGGATTTCCCATGTTGGTTCCGCAAGTAAATGTTCACTTTTAGGCCATATAATTTATCTTTTATTGTCCAAGCTTATTTGGTCAAGATGGACTGAATATTTCCCTCTACTTCATCTTGGTCAATAAAAACACAAAAAAGAACTAATATCCAGCCATCTTGACTTCATGCTTGGTCAATAACACATAATATATACCTCACAATAATTTTCCACGACATTATGTACATCAAGAGGCTACTTAGTCACTTGCATTTATAACTTCTTTATCTTCATTTTATGTCTTTATAAAGACCAAAGAATCATTGAAGAATTGACAGATTTTTGTAAAAATTTAAAATGACTTAACTAAACTACAGTATTATAAAAATAACACTTCATTTTTTAAAAGAAAGGCTTGAATCATATTTCCTTTCACATAGAAATAGTACTAATTTCTCATCAACCATATCCATTGCATTTTGCTTTCTTTTCCATCATGGCAACACGGCAAATCACCAGTTTGATTATTTTATAATTATTTCACTAAAACATGAAGTAATTGTAAGTAGCTTTACAAAGCAATAATTATCATTATTTGAAAAACGAAAAAGAACTTTCACAAATGGCACCACTGTCCAGATTTAAATGAAACACCTGGATACTTTTTACCTGTTCACGGTCTTCACGTCAGCAGTGCACTTGATATTAAAAAGGACTGAAACTTCACCAAAACAATCACCAGCTTGGATCTTTCTCAGAACATATTTTTCATTTTCACTCACAACATTTACATTTCCAGACACAAGCACATAAATTCCAGACGGCTCTTGACCCTTCCTTAAAAGAATTTCTGGAGTATCAGGAGTCTCGACCAGTTCCACCCGATGTATCACCTCATCCCGTACCCTCTTATCAAGAACAAGTGGCAGGCGGTTCAAACAGTTTGCAAGTGTATTGACAGCTTCAGGTGGAAGTGATGGATTGACAGCTGATGCCAAATTTGGACGTACAATCTGACTCTCCCTTCTTTTGGAACTTTGCCTGTTACCCAT